CAGGACCCAAATCTTTTTTTTTTTTTTTAAACATTTTTTTTTTTCTCTCTCTTTTAAAATAGTTATCATTTGGAACTGAAGATGAACGAATCAATCGTTTCTAGCCTCCTCCCTGGCATATATCATACTTTTTTTTTTGGTCTTTTGAATCGACCTTGTGGTTGCCTCTGGCGACCGCGTGAGTAGTGATTTGTCCCTGAAGTGGGTGTCATTCCACCTAGGGCCTACTGCGTGGACTGTGAGCAGGATTACCTGTGTCTGTGGGGTTACACCGCAGTGCAGTGTGTAGCAATCCCGGGCAGTGTAACTCCTGCACAGTGCACCCACCCAGAGGGTTTAGTCCTAAGGTCCTGGCCTCTCCCCAGACTTGGGAATAATCTGAAGTTATTTTAAGTGTTTATTATTACTAGTGTGTGGTGTATATGTTCGTGTGCCAGGGCTTGCATGTGAAGCCCAAAGGCTAGTCCTCTCCTTGCATCCTGCTGTAGATCCTGGGACTCAAACTTGGGTCAGGCTTGGAATACAAGCAATTTACCCCCCTGGACCATCATATTGTTGTTTTGGTTTTGTCTGTTTGTTTTGAGACAGGGTCTCTCTATGTAGACCTGCCTGTCCTGGAACTCACTACAACAGGCTATCCTTGAACTCACAGAGATCCATCTGACTCTGCCTCCCAAATTCAAGAAATAAAGGCATGTGCCACCACACCCACCTAAAGATTTTATTTTTTTATTTTATGTATATTTGTGTGAGAGAGAGTTTAAGTATGTGTATTACATGCTTGCAAGTGTCTTCAGAGGCCAGAAGAGGTATCAGATCCTACTGGGGAATATTATTTTAAGTTGTGTAACTTTTGTTTATTCTGCATTTGTCTAATTCTGTGAAGCTGTGTTACTGTGCCTTTCTAAACACCTGGTGGTCCTAATAAAGAGTTGAACTGCCAATAGCGAGGCAGGAACAAGGATAGGCGGGGCGGCAGGGGAGAGGAAAAATAAAAAGAGAAGGAGAAAAGAGCAAGGAGAGAACAAGGACAGAAGGATATCAGGGGCCAGCCACAAACCATCCAGCTACACAGCAACTCATTGAGTAAGAGTAAGATTTAGAAAAATAAGAGAACAGGAAAAGCCCAGAGGCAAAAGGTAACAGAATAGTTTAAGCTGTATAGAAACAAGCCAAGCTAAGGTCAGGTATTCATAACTAAGAATAAGCTTCCATGTGTGAGTTATTTGGGAGCTGGGTGCCCCCCCAAAAATCCAAAAGAGTAAAAAGAGAAAAATCATTTCAAACAATAAGCTCCCCTGGAACTAGAGTTACAGGTGTTTTTGAAAAAACCACATCTGAGCTGAGAACTGGTCTGAGGTCCTCTGATAGAGCAGAAAGTGCTCTGAACTCATGAGCCATCTTTCCAGTCCTTCCCTTCAGAATTTTAGGACACTGAGATTTTTTTTGTGTGTGTGACATGCCCATAATTTTCTTTGTTGTGCTGGGCATGATATGATAGTGGAGACTTAGCACTGGCTTCACTTGTAACTGTTCAAAGAGGTATCTTTTAGCTCAATACACACAAACATGGCCTACGTTCAAAGCTTTAATTTAGGCAATGCTATGAATAACTGGGTTTAAAATGCCATCTCCTGAGACATGGCTTGTCAATGCATGGTTAGTAATCCATTCTCTAACTAACTGCATTTTCAAAGGGAGCCAGAGATAAATATGCAAGCCTTTGCAGGGAATAAGGAGTGAGTATGAAGATGCTTAAGGTGGCAGGGAGACTACTTACACAAATGATGAAATTTGTAGTGATGTAGTGAGCTAGATAACAAGGGCCCTCCTTTCCCCCACGGACAAATGTTACCCACTCTAAAATCACTGTTAAAATCTCTATTAGTAGCTGGCAAGGAGAGCCAGCAGGTAGAAAGGTACCTGCTGCCAAACCTGATGACCTGAGCTCAATCTCTTAGACCAGCATAGTGGGAGGAAAGCTAACTCTCTCAAGGTGCCCCATGATATCTTCACATATGCTACACACACACATACACACACACACACACACATGCACGCACGCACGCACGCACGCACGCACGCACGCACGCACACATACACACTGGGTAAATAAATACAGTGAGAATTAAAATCCCTATTAGTGTTAATCCTTCCTTCCTTCCTTTCTCTTTCTTTCTTTCTTTCTTTCTTTCTTTCTTTCTTTCTTTCTTTCTTCCTTTCTTTCTTTCTGTCTCCCGTCCTTCCTTTGAGATAAGGGCTCACCCTGTAGCCTGAAACTCATGGCAGTCCTCCAGCTGCAGCCTTCTGAACACTGGGATTATATGTATGAGCCACCACATCTGGCTAATGATATTTTTAAAGTTCTTATTGTAAGCACCCCTTCTGACTGTATTTTTCCTCTAAATAAACAATGATGGTGGAAAACAGTGCAATTGACTCCCTAACCGCCAGCTAACTCCCTAAATCCCTAACTGTTGGCCTCCTTATGTTGAATACTGGCTGCTTTGAACAAAAGGGATGCCAATCAAAAAACAGCCATCCAGACTAGCTTATGCCAGCATTAGCCGTCTTGGAAAAAATCCTACACACAATAGCCACCTCTGGTGCAGACACTTGTGATCCCCACACTTGGCAGCTGGAAGTAAAGCATAGAAGGCCATCCTTGACTGCAGAGTGGAAAAACCGAAGAAATGTACATAGAAGAAATATCAGGAGTTCAAAGCCTCATACATGGCAACTTTGAGGCCAGCTTGAGCTACATGAGAAAGCCCCAAATCAAATAGAAATAAATAAAAAGGGCTATGGAGATGGCCCAATAGGTAAAGATGCTTTTTTTCAAGCCTTGATCCCAAGTTTGATCCCAGGGACCCAAATGTTAGATAGAGAGAATCTGTAGGCAGAGTTTCTCTGTGTTCCAGTAGTTGTCACCAAATAACCACACAGAGTCTTTTATTTTTTAAGATTTATTTATTATGTATACAGTGTTCTGCCTGTATGTATGCCTGCAGGCATGCTCTTAACCGCTGAGCCATCTCTCTGACCCCCAAGGAAACTTCTTCTTAAGTATAAATGCTCAGCCCACAGCTTAGGCTTGTCTCCAGCCAGCTCTTACAACTTAAATGAAACCATTTCTATTAATCTATGTGCTGTCCGGAGGCCCATTTACCTCATCTGTGTACTTTTCATGCTGCTTCTTTGTCTGGCTGGCGACTCCTCCAACTTCACCCTTCTTCTCCCCAGCATTCTCTCTGCTCCCCAAATCCTGCCTAGCCATTGGCTAATCAGCTTTTTATTAACAATGAGAGCAACACATCTTCACAGTGTACAGAAGGGTTATTCCACAAGAATCTATTTACTCCTGAAAGCTGTGCTTTAACCCCTACTACTACCACCTCCCCCAAACAAATCTTGTAATGTAATAAAACCTTAAATAAATAAATCTTAAGGACATTTAGATCCTTGATAGCAGAAACTAATGTTAAGATTGATGCAGATCCTAGCTGGGCAGTGGTGGCACATGCCTTTAATCCCAGCACTCAGGAGGCAGAGACAGATGGATGTCTGTGAGTTCCAGGCCAGCTTGGTCAACAGAGCAAGTGCCAGGAGAGGCTCAGAGAAACACTGTCTCAGAAAAACAAACAAACAAACAAACAAAGATTGCTGCAGATCCTATGCTGGTGTACAATAAAAAGTTGATTTTGTTTTGTTTTGTTTTTTGAGATAGTGTTTTGTGGTGATTTGAAAGAAAATGGTCCCCAAAGGGAGTGTGTCACTGTAAGGTTGGGCTTTGAGGTCTCTTTTGCTCAAGCTTCCATCAGTGTGACTGTCAGTTGATGTCCTGTTGCCTTCAAGACGTAGCACTCTTGGCTCCAGCACCTCATCACCTGTACACCACCATGCTCCCCACTTACTAGATTTATGCAATCAGTGCAGAAGCAACACTATCTGATAATTAAAAACTGGAAGTTACCGGTTTTTTTTAAGACAATTTGATTCAAGAAATAAATATAAGCTTAGAGGTAGGGATGCCTGCTGAAACCTTCTGTCAGCCTAGTCCCCGGGGACAGGGCCCTGGAATCAGTAAAAACC